ATTCAGCTCCCCGAAAAGGCTATGGACTAAGACGAATAATATAGGATTGACCATGAGAAAACCAAGATTAATGTTTTTAAAGGAAAGCAACTTTGTCAATGGTGAGCATAACACAGCAGCAGAATTCAGTCGAATTCAGATCTGCCTTTCTGTTCTTGGGCAAGAACATGCTGTGACCCTCACTTTCCTCATCTGTAAAATGGGGATGGTGATAGCTTCTCCTTCACAGATGATTGCAGAATTAAATAAAATGTGTATGTACCATGCTTAGAACAGGGCCTGGCGCTTGGCTGCAGCTCAGTGAATGGTGCCTAAATTTGTTAATGTCTTAAGTCATTTTAAAATTAATTTTTAATTTTTTTTTTTTTTGGGGACAGGGTTTACTCTGGGGTCAATTTTGGCTGTTGGTCTCAGCAATGACAGGGAAGGTTAATTGAGCATCCAGGGTACCTCCATCTAATAATAGGAGAACTTATCGATTGAAAATATATATAGAAAAACCTGGAGATACACAGACACAACACACATACATACACACACGCACACCTATAACTTAGTTCTCTGCTGTACCTGTATTGATTCCTCCTATAGACCTCTTTTCAGAATGTGCCCTGAAAATTAAATTATCCATTTAGTTCCAATATGACCTATTTGGATTTAATTGGATTTGTAGGCAGTAATTTATGTAATATTAATGGATACTTTTCAAAAGTAGCTAATTAGGAGCCGACCTTTAATTTTCCTTCTAAAGAAAAGGAACGGAGTATAATAAAAAGAAATAAAAAAGAAACAAAAAAGAAAAGGAAGGAAGGAAAGATGGAAAAAAGGAAAAAAGGAAGGTAGGGAAGGTTGGAGATAGGGAGGAAAGGAGAGAGACAAAAAAAAAAAAAAAAACCCAAAACCTCAAACCCTTTTCTCTTCTCTTAACAGTGGTGTAGATTTAATTAGCAGAAAGATAGCATCCGTTAGGGACGTTTGGGGAGCTGTATGATACATTATGTATCTGATTACCTTATGCCTATAAAAACAGCTAAATAATTTAAATGCAATTCAATGAAAATGTATTTTCAATGGGAAACTTAGGAGCTGGGTGATAGATTAAAAGCTTCCTGAACCACGGAGATTTTATAAGATACTGCTACGAAAATTCAGTATAAAAGATTATATTTTGTTTCCCCTTTTATGTAGCTAGATTTCTTCATTTTGTGTTGTTTTCCAAACAGCGCTGAATAAATATATACTGCACTATTTTGATGCTTCAGGAATAGAAATGTAAGAATTCAGTGTCATCATTACAATTAAAACACACAGACAAAATTGCCTTCTTTGTGCAACCGCCTTTCAAAAGTCTGATTCTACCTTGCCCAAGTCGCTACCCACCTGGGCCAACCTTTCACTCATCCACAAAAATTTAATGGCTTTGTTCTCCCCTAGTCCACAAGGGGAATTTTCAGCCCCTCTAGAACTGATTTTTCACGTTATGCAAAGTATATTGGTGAGTTTATATCATTCCCTAGTGGGAAGGGATTTGTCTCTGAAAAAAGTACTGAAACTATCTTTGCTAATTGGCCCCTTTGTTGTTAGGCAAAGCAGAGAGGCCAAGGACTAAATGGGCCATAAAAATTTAGCTACAACCTTCATCTAGGAGCTGTCCCTTAGGTCAGCAATGATGCTAGCTGGTCTGGCCATGAGGGGGAACATACACTCTCTGGTCTAACAGAATCTGTTTTGTGAATTAAAAAAGCACTGCTACTTATCTTAAACAGTGCCTAATGACGCACCTACCTAATTTACTATATTCTATCATCTGGTACTATAAACTAATTCAAAATCAATTTAAATTAATTTTACACAAAATGGGGTCCCTGGATCATCTGCATCAGCTTCACTTTGGATGCCTGTTTAACATGCAGATTTCTGGGCTCTGCCCCAGAATGAGATTCTGCATTTTAACAAGCTCCTTGGGTGGCCCCTAGGCATGCTGAAGCTTGAAATCCACTGTTTTGATAGATTTAAGTTGGATGGGGTCTTCAAAACTCTTCTCTTCAGCGAATAGCAGCATCTTGTGCCCTTTAAGCATCTAAATTGTATAACCAAATATCACAAAGGAGAATTTGATAATTGAGAAACAGTATCACAAGGAGTTTTCCCTGGGATGTCTTAATGGTCAACCCCTTTGATTTCAGGCTCACGCCATCAAAGAGATTCTTGAAGGGAATTCTATGATTATTTTCTCTTTGCTAATGGTCCGTTAACACCAGCTTATTGATTCAAGAAAGCTTTTGTTCCTTGAAAAATATTACTTAGATCCAAAAGATGTGAATTCTAGTCCTGGGTTTGCTGTGGACAATCTCTAAGGCCCTGGACAGGAAAGTTACTACTCTGTGCCTTAGAACTCTTATCTGTAAATTTGATTTTGATAATACTTGCCTAACTTATGTTGCACAACTAGTGAATTAGATTACTTAGTATATCTTCATCTTATGCTAAAGATATTTCTAAAAAGTTTCTAAAAAGAGTTTTT